TTCTGAAACAATTGCCTTGAAAACTGCAAGGACTCATCCAAGCAGTCACTGCAGAGTCGGTAACGACTGAGCGGAGATTAAAGAAAAAAGAAAAAAAAAAGCCCTGTTTAGTTTCCAAAGCAAATAGTACCAAAAGCATCCTCCTTACAATTAGAAAGAATGATTTTGTTAGATCCACCATAATAGTTCGTTACTTCTCAGTATCAAAGAAATGGGACCACAGTTCAAGGATAATTAGATAAACTATTGGGCACACCTTTCCACCTTTACAGTGCTCAGAAGAGACTGTAAAGTGGGAACAAGTGCAGCAAAAGGAGGATTAGGAAGAAGAACAAATAAATGAGATTAAGGAGAAGGCATATACTGTATAATCAAGTTGCAATGTACAACTGATTTTCCCTTTCCTGTTCCACTCAGGACATTTCACAGGCAATTATCTAGTCATAATATAGTTCATAATTTCTCTCCATTACTCAGCTTTTAGTGCATACCAAACAAATTAAGTGAAGGTCTTGTTATGCTAGAAAAAGCATGCTCACTGGACTGGGATAAATTTTCATCAGACAGAGAAAGTATGTCTTTCAAACAATGGGTACTGTACACAAGTCAGAATTGTACTAATTGTTTAATTTACTTTAATTGTTTAATTAAAATGTTTCTCAAAACCATTACTTTTAACTTTATCTTGTTCTTCTAGGTTATGAGTTCCAGCTTGGAGAAGGAAATCAAACACTTTTAAAGATGCTTCTGAGGTACAAGGAGACAAGTATATCTTTGAAGGAGCTAGTGGAAGTTTCCAGAATCTCTAAGGGATGAGAAAAAAAGATATAGCCAGGATTGTAATCTGCTAAAAAAAACCTTTATCTGCTTTTATTAATTGCTTATCAATTCCATTCAAACAAATTTGGATATATCTTATACCCGCTTTTGTAGGCCCCTTTAAATACTATAGGAACTATGTGACTGATTTGATTCACTAAATGATACATTAGCAGTTGTTATTAGAAAAGCAGGCTATCTTCAATATTTTCTTTTTCCATTTCCTACTATATTCATGACAGCAGAATCACGACCACTTCAAAGGCAAAGTGTGATCTTTAATTCTCAGCTCTATTAATATGTATATAACAGCTCCAGTACACTATTATATATTACTTTGTATCCCACCCTTCCTTCAAGTGAGCCTTCTGAACTCTATTTATAGATTTATTTTCAGAGCAACCTTACTGAGGTAGACTAAAAAAAATTGCCACCTAATGAGACTCATGACAAAGCAGATACTATTCAGAAGACCCCCCTGAAACTCCTTTCTATCTTCAACTAAAAAATTAAAAAATAGCTAATAAAATAAGGAAAGAATTTTGTTTCCTTTGTAATCACATTATCCTCTTTTAAGAAGCTTATTCTGCTGCTATTAAACTTAATTGGTTTGAGACCATCATAAATTAATTCACCCATTCAAAGCATTATTCATTAAATCACGCTAGCCAAATCCTTTGGAGATTCCCAGATAAAAATATATTTTTCTTTATATTGTAGGCTTTTTGTATTCTGACCTTTCCTTTCTTCTTTGGCAAAACCTGCAGCTCTGAAGTAAAATCTTCAGTGAAGGCATAGCCTTTATAAGGCACCTGACCACAAACAAAAGAAACAGACAAAAACTAATGCATTTATAAACTAAATATATCCATGGCACTATAATTTTTAATACTATAATGCATGAATTTCTAGCTATTAGATATTTGTGTTAGAAAGTTCTGTACTTAACATTTACAATGTAGTCTTGTATATTTTTATTTCTATTAATTAATGAAATGAGGCTTATGCTAAGTGAGTAAAGGACTGAAATCTCAGTGAATTAAGAGGTGTACACTGTATGAAAAATTTCTCATTAGGAAATATGATCCTAATGAGAAATTAGCTTTGATTGAAGTTAAGCATCTGCTAAATTCTTAATATTTAAAAAGCAGAAAACATCACGTAAGAACATGCTTATGTTTATACAGAAAAAAAATATTTTTGTTAATGCCATATTCTAAATCTACATTTTAAAGCAATCCTAAAAACAGATTTCCCTTTGGAGTTATTGTGCTAGGATGTATCTAACAGAGGGTGGCAGACTCTGCACCCAATATTAGTTTAGTGGTCTCAGGTCCTCAGTTGGTTAAAATGATATCAAAAGAATACATACCAGATATGAAGCCATCTCAACTGATTTAGAGACATCAATTTTGTCTTGTTCATCTAAAAGCTGGCTTTCAAAAATATAGGATTCTAGAAAGGAGATCACAATGGTGATACTTATATAGTAACATTATCTGACAGTGAAATTATTTTGATAAAAAGCCATTTATATTTTACTTTTTACTATATTTTTAAATTTAAAGTAAAAACAACAAGGAGAGCTAATCTGTTTTTCTTGCTGATGTTTTTCGGTAGTTTGCTTAAATGAATAGCAAACACACCACTTAATTTTTTTCTTGGATCCTTTATCTTCCCAAACCTGATGCCATTTTGAGTCCATGGAGACAAAATAACACAGTTTATGGTTTGTAAATTGAGGTGTTAGTTTTATATAAAATGATTCTTTTAAATAGAGTCAGGCAGCCCTGAAATCCAATAAATAAATAAATTTAAGATTCTAACTCTGAACCTATTAATGTTATTGGATAAGAGGTTTGGCTCTTTCAGTGGTAACCAGGATTGCTTTAAGATACAATCAGCCAGCTTGATGTAAGTGGCATCATTCCAATTCATCCTGCTAAATGGAGCTTTAGAACTCTGCCCAAAATCTTGTCCTGATGCAAACACTGGTTGAACTACCAAATTCCCTGGTATTTTTGAAATAATTGTTTTGTTATCATTTCCTTTATTCTACATGCTAAATTTCTTCTCATCTACCTTCACTGATACCCATATGCAGACTTTCTCTTCTCTGTCAAATCCCAAATGTATGTATATGAGACTGGATGGGGCTGCAAAGATGTCCTGAAAATATCTGGTCTCCTCAGCAACCTCTCTCAAAACACCAGAGTACACTTTCAGTTGTGTTAAAGGTTAGTTGTAATGATCAGCTGACAGGCAGGAAACCTTACCCCACTTTTCTTTAAGACCTTGTTGTGCTTCTTCACATCTTAATGCTTCTCAATCCTAGTCACTGTAGCAATGCTTGCAATCATGTGGCTATGATGTGTCAAAACAGGGGCGGGGGGTGGTTCTTGGAAATAGGCTATATGGGAATACTTTCTGCCACAGATGCTTTGAAGGGTACTCATATAATCATTTTTAATAGGTCTTGGCTATGGTTCTCCCAATTTTTTTAAATTTTTCCAATTTATTTTCTCAAAGCATTTCTAAGGCCTGCTAGCTTCACTGAGCAAATATGGAAAGTTCACATGTCCATTTGAATCAAATGAAGAAAGTTCATTTCAATACTTGGAAGGTTATAGATTGCATTATCAGTTTTGACAACAACATTTATTTTTCTGAACTACTACACAGAACTTCATAAACCCTCAGCTGAGACTGTGAGACTTTAATAAATCCATTAATGTTCTATTTACACACAATATTGAAAGATCGCCTTGCCACAATAATTTCCATGTTAACTAAGTATGCACAAACATTATTCCATTGTTTTTAATTTCCCCTCCATGTAATTTTTTTAGTTCATACTTCTGTGAAGTCTGAATTTCCCCAAATTTGCTGATCCCTCCCTCTTTCGGGCAAATGCTTTAGCTATCTGAGAATCCACATGCAGAGAATGAATTCCCTATTAATATATTACTATAAGCTGGCACAAAGAAGCTGCAGTACTACAAAGTCTTAAATTCCATTAAATATAGTAAGATATGCATCTGAATAAAAAGGGATAGGGTTAGACTGTTTGATTTATAAAAACAATACTATTCAGTTAATATAATTAAGATTACCTGTTTCTGAGACTTTGGCAGTTTGAACAGTAGTTTTCAAAATGCGTGATATTTTATTGTGATGCAAGATATAAATATCATTTTTGAAAGCCAGTAAAATGTCACCAGAACTATTGAGGAAACAGGCTGTGCTTAAAGTGTTATCAAGCGTGATCTCAGCCACGAGGATTTTGTTAATATTCCATAGTTTTATTATGGCATCTGAACTAGAAAATAAAAGGAATAGTCATTACATAAAATTTAATTCATTTTTATGCAGACGCTCCACATACTACTAAAATACACAGGAAGCAAACTGTATGGACATTTCTGTATAATTTAGCTTAGAGGTCAAATTTCATCACAAGATTGTGTCTAACAGAGGGAATAGACCTTAGATGAATAAGGAAAAAGGCTTCCTGTGCATTTTTTTCTATTTTGTTAAATAACTTCCAGATTAAATTTAGTATAATTACTAATTCTGTTTGCATTTCTACACACAGTTCACTTTTTTTTAATATCTTTTATCTTGCTGACAACTTTATTCTTCAGATGGTGGAGAAAGCAGAAGAGAATCAGCTATACTTGCTTTGATACTAATCAATAAAGAAGATGTGAGGAAGTGGAAAAACAAGGGGTATGGGAATAAAAGATCACCATGCAATACAAAGGTCTTGCTTTTAACAGAAACTAAAGCTAAATGTAGTCAAATCTGTATCCCAGATTTCAAAATAGTGCATTTTAATATTTAAATCAATGGTAAAATCCTTAGCAGAAGCAACTCATCAGAAAAGTTGCTCAAGGTGGATGGGAGTTCCTAAAGGAGTGGATAGTAGAAGCACAACTGCAACTAATTCTTGTGAAGAGAAAAAAATATAGGATTGCAGAAGAAGCTAATGTGATTACACAAAAAGCTTAGAGAGAATCTAGAAATAAAACACAACAACTACAGGAAATGGAAAGAGGGCCAAGTCACAAAGGAACAGTGTAGACATGTAGTCTAGGTAGAAAAAGCCTTTGGAGCTTTCTGGTGAGTGCCATGGTAAGCTAGACGTTTCTGCCACAGTGGGATGGCGTTTACGTGGTGGCTGGATGCTGGATCCTGGCCGGTGAAATCTCTCCAGAAGAAGGAGAGATCCTGAGATAGCCCACATGTACTCTGGACAGCTACTCCTCATGAGTAGACTGCAGGAACCAAGCTTTTTTTCAGTCAGCTTATGAGTTGAGTGGCTGGGAGTCAAGGGACTCCACCTAAGCTCACAGTCATAACCTTTTTAAGGGCATAAAGTTCGACTGAGCCTCATTTATTAATCACTTTTTTGGAATTCATTTTTTATTGTTTTGGAAATATTAAGACCCTTTGGAACCACAAGGTCTTTTTTGTAATCACTGGGTGAATTTCCTTCTCCTGAATGAAAGAAGTTCAAATATGACTTTAAAGATTTGGGAAAGTATTATTTTCTTTGGATTAAACAGCAAAAAGGTTGATGTCGGAAATTAAAAAATGGACTAAGAGTCCAAATGGATATGGAATAATTGAAATTAATTTTATAATTTATTATAATAATCCTTCCTGTGAGAAACTGTGGCTGTTTGGGTTTTTTTGGGGGAAAAAAACATGATAGGATGGGACTTTGAAGGTTGAACACTAGAGGGAGCTAGAAGAGCATAAAGATTACAGTTAAAGAATACCTAAATTGGACTTGTCAACAAAAAAATGGAGCAAACTATTTTAACATTGGATAATTTGAAGGATATTTTTGAATTATGGACTCAGAAATTAATTTTAAGAATATCTGATAGTATAGATAGATTGTGTGCTAATGATTTTACAGCAAAAGAAAAAGAAGCTATACCAGAAGTGACTGAAACTGATTGTAATGAGGATTTAAATATGACAAGCTACAAGAAGGATGTGGAAAAGGAGGATATACTGGATATACAAATAAAAGTGGTTGATGACTTAATAATTAAAGGGGACATACAAATATTAAATCAGAAAAGTGATTTGGATAAGTTTTATCTACTGCATATACAAAAGAGTTTGTTCAAGTTTTCTGAGAAGGGACAAGGAAAAAATGAAAAGAAATCAAGTACTAAGGCATTATCTGAAGGAACGAAAAACCAAGATCGTTAAAAGTACCGGGAATGAATATAGAGTTGGCTTATTTGATCAAGGTTAAAATAAATTTGTAGTTATTTCTGGTAACCCTTAATGGTTTTTTTTTTTTTTTTTCTGAAATGGAATGAATGATGACACTTTTGGACTTTATGAAGTTTATTTGTTGTATTCTAAAAGATGGTGATAAGTTGCTAAAATTGTTTATGCTTGTTGCAATGAAGGGGGAAGTAACTTCTTTATATATTTTCTTTCTTTTTCTTTTTTTGTTCTTCTTTTATACACTTCCACTCTTTTTTCTTTTTCTTTAATCATACATTGTTTGTAGTTTGTATTCGTTTTTATTTTTCTAATTGTAATCTTTAACAAAATTATAAAAAAGGAAAGCAAAAGCTATGAATGAGATATTAGCAGAGAATCCCAAGAATAATAAACAGGGGCTATTTCATTTATATTCCAAAGAAGAAGAAGAAGAAAAAAATCAGCATACCAGCTGCTCAGTGAAGAATGCAAAATACTAACATGTCATAAAGAAAAGTCAGAGCCATTCAATTGTTTTAGTTCAGGCTTCCAACAGGAAACTGTGAAGAACAGGATGATTAAATCTTGATCAGGGAATCCCTCTTTACTTTGCATAACTTGAACCCTCCTTGACTAGATGAATTGCATCCCAGGGTAATGAAGGAACTAACTTATAGCCTGTTCAATCTTGGAGAAATCCTGGAGAACTGATTTAATGCCAGATGACTGGAGGAGGACAGATGTTGCCCATATCTTCAAAAAGGGAAAAAAGAGGATGCAGGGGAACTCAGGCCAGTCATTCAGACATCAAGGCCTGGAAGATTCTAGAGAAGGTCATAAAAAGAATAGTTTAAATCACCAGAAATCAGCCTGCATTTGTTAATATATAACTTGCCAGACTAACCTTACTGTGTTTTGTTTTTTCAAGTTATTATTTTAAATTAACATTATTTTCAGATTGCCCCCATCTGCATGCCTCTGAACAGGATACATTTTGTTTATTAACTTCCTTAAATAATTACTGGAATGCTATAGACATATTTTGATTTCAGCAAGCATTTGACAAAATAACCCATGAGTTAGGTGGATAAATCATGGGATTGCAATAGGCACAATACACCCCAATGACATGCTGACTATCCTACTTTTCTAACAAAAGTAGAATTAAAAATGTCTTAAGTAAATGTAGCTAAAGGAATTTCTCAATGGTATTTCATACATCTCTGAAATTGAAGATGAGATCTTGTGAAATAGAAACAAGTCTTCTGAAATATAATGAGAGTACTACATTTGAAAAGGCCTTGGGTAAGATATGCGTACCTCCTATAATATTGAGTTTGTCAGGTTGCAAAGGGGTAGACAGTGCCACCCTGCTTAGCAGCAGTATGAATAAGCAGTCAAATGCTGGAAAGAGAAGCTCTAGAAACTGCTGTGGCAGCTCTTCTAATCAGAAATCCAGATGCAGTTTGGAAAAATTAAGGGGGCAGCCACAAAATACCCTGCCAAGCATTATTCTTCAGAGCACTGATCTTTTATTCTTTTTTAAAGAGACACTGGTTTGTGTGCAATCATCATTGTCCTATTTCATCACTTTATGACCTTATTTTATAAAAAGGCAACATTGATCTCTTTACCTACCCACAACTCAGAAAGATAGAAAGATTCTTGCAGGAATCCACTGCTATTACAGGACCATCATGATAGTTTGCTGAAGCATCTTCTTCTATTTCCTCTTGAAGATAGAAAATAAATACCAGTTCTGAATTGTGCTACCTAATTTTAAGGTTTGAATACACCTTTTATTTTTAGATTATAATAATACAATCTGCAGGATTATGTCTTTTTCTCTGCTTCCCTGAGCTTTCAGATTTGTTAATTGCTGTATGGCTAGTTTTACACAGTAATACCACAAACCATAGCATTACTAAAATTTTTCAGAGGGGGTACCCTGTGGTAATATAAACAACTCACACTTACCTTTATCATGCTGTAAGACTCACGGTCTTTTTCAAGCACTTCAATTTACTTTATATAAGTCCTATTAATGCATCTTTCAGTGTCAAAATGGTTCCCAATGAGTATTTCTATGTGTAAGCATTACTCTCTGTATACAAGATAATGTTTAAACATTATTTTAGCTAGGGTCTATCCTGAACTATGTCAGACAAGTTGTCTATATAGCCCTGTTTCTGCTTACTCTAATTAGCATATGCTGTCAATAGTCTTAGCCTCAGTTATTACTTGTTCCCTGAACTCTAAGTAAAGATGTATGTGGCCTGTTATCTGATTGTAATCCTCCAAGAAAGCTTTATTTCAAGACATTATGCAAATATTATAAATAAAAACATTTTTGTTGTTCAGTCATTAAGTCATGTCCGACTCTTCGTGACCCCATGAATCACATTGCGCCAGGCCTTCCTATCCTTCACTGCCTCCCGGAGTTTGCTCAGTTTCATGCTCATTGCTTCAGTGATGCTATCTAACCATCCTCTGCCGTCCTCT